GATCCTAGGGATTATACGATTGGATAGAACACTCCTAGACGTCTCTGGAACCTTCTGTGAGTTTCCATGACATTCTATTCCCTGCACATGACTGTTGCGTCACGTCGTACATGATCGATCGTGGAGATCATATCAGGATACAACCGTTTCTTCAACAGGCTCTTTGGCAGAAGTCAAGGAAAACCCTCAAACGGGTCAGCCAGATCTGGATGGTATCTCTTCAATGTCAGAGGCAGAAATCGCCAATGAGGTTAGAAAGCATTTCAAAGCACTACTTTGTAAGTCTCTGCGTGTGATTGCTATCTACTTTCAATTGATTGCGAGAAAGCCAAATATGGATTGCGAAATATCGACAGGTTGCTGCCTTGGAAAAGGATCCTGAGACAGCTTGCCGCGTCGGACCTCATATGCGAAAACTGGCCGGAGCGCGTCCACTATCCTGGACAGCTGGCAACAGGCAAAGGGATTGCTGAGCTAGGTGCCGGTGAGAGAGTACGCCTGTTACGTGCTCTTGTGCATGCTCCCGAAGAACAACGCTTAAGATTCCGCAAACGTCGAGCCCATGGTGCCTCTACCTATTATCACGGAATGCTTCGGAGCTGACTACTTCATGATTGCGCAGAAATAATCGGAAACGAGTTCTTGCTCGTAATCCTTGGTGTTTCTCCCTCTCGACCTGGTTCTCGAGGATTGTGCGTCTATGTCTCAGCGACGAGCGCCGAGATGATAGATGACCAGCTCAGTTTGGAATACGGCTGTTGGCCCCAAGAGGCTCGATCTGGGCTCCTTGAGATTCAAATGAATCCGTCAAAGTCTCAGAAACGACGAGTGGATGTGCAAGATGTACAAGATATCCCGAAAAAACAGCCGCGCCATCGAGAACGTACGGATGACGCTCTTCATCAACGGCTCAGCCCACCTGATGCTGCTGACAAAGTTGAAAGTACGCTGTTTGAGGACTGAAGAGAAATATATCCTGAAAACTCCTTCGAGTGCAGTTTCCTCACAGGATAGC